AGGGGGGGGGATTGCATGGCGGGGGCCATGATATTTCCCAAGGTTTCATGGCGCCGCTTCTTCTTCCAGCACGTCCCCGGTCCCCCCCCTGGGCCGCGCACGTGCCGCCGGCCATGATTTGCCCCCCCCACCCCCTACCCTTCTTGGACGCCCCCCTCTCTTGGACGCCCCCGGCAGTCGGAAGATGGCACAGGGCCAGCGAGGGCAACAGTGGCCCCCAAACGGATGGCCGCTTCTCTTAATTCTGGATTCCTGGAGCGTGCAGTCTGAGCTCGTGCTACGAAGGGCCTTCGCTTCGTGAGTCGTCTTCTTCCTTGCTCATGGGCTCGCTGTCCATTCACACGCGGGCCGAGCCAGGTGTGAGTCAGTGCGCAGACGTATGAGCTTGGGTCTCGAAAGTTGCGGAAGCAGAGGAGGAAGAGGAGGAGGGTAGAGTGGGTTGCAGAATCAAACAAACATGATGATCAGGATCCCTTCTAGAAAATTGGAGCATGGAGCGAATTTGTTCGAAGTTTAGATTGTCCACCTGCCCTCTTTTTCGTTCCCCTCCCCGCTTCGTCTCCCTGTGCTCAACTCCCTGGCGTTTACAAGACACGTGGCTAGCAGATGGCACGTGGTAGGGTTGAAGTCGGAGCTCTGCTGTGTGTGGGCGTGGTTTCGGAATGTTCTCTTCGTGCGAGCAAGTTTCATGTCGGAAGGTGCATGGCACGGGCAGGATGTGCGTGCGTGATAATCGCGGCATCGCAGAAAGCATGATGAGAATCAGGTTCTGGAGGCACGCCTTGGCCGCTCCCACGAAATTCATCAATTTGGCTGCGCAGGTCTTCAATATTCACGTTGTCCACTTCTTCATGTGTACGCGTGTTGGCACGAGTGATCGACGGTGTAGTGCAGCGTTCCAGGGCAATTTACATCAATTCGTGTTGTTTCACTGGAGAGTGGAGAGGTTGTCCATCTGTTGATCAGCAGGCTGTGCGACCAATTTGCTTCCGTGCTCCGTGCGCGCCAGGATTTGGCTCCACGCCAGCATGTAGCAGCCATCCTGTAGTGAAGCCTTTCTCCCTCTCCTTTCCAAACGCTGACCACACGTTATCCCGCAGCGATTGTGCGTTCCGTTTGCGGGGCGATTATTTTTCCAACGGCTCAAGCGAGCGGTCGGACCCTGATAGGCCGATCGGGCGGGGGTGGGCGAGCTGACCTTGCCGGGTCGGGGGCAGGAAACTCATGCGGTCGGGCGGTCGGGCGGGCGTTCGTGCAAGCGTGCGGGCGGACCCTAGCGCGCAGGCGGGTCGGCTGGGCGGTACATCAAACTAGGCTGACGGATTTTGATGAAAGCTTGCGGGCGGACCGTAACAAGCGGGACGGGTGTGCGGATGGGCTTTAACCCTTCACGGACGGGTTGGGCGGGCCCGTCGGGCGACGACGACGACGTCGACGACCAGGACGACAACGACGATTTCGATGACCAGCGACGACAATGTCGACAACGAAGACGACGCAGACCGCGAGGACGACATCGATGATGAATGGGCGAGTCGGGCGGGTGGGCCCTCACGGACGAGCGGGCGGCTTTTCGTGCTGGGGCGCGGGCGGACCTTCAACGGGCGTGGCGGGCGGGCGGGCGGGCGGGCGAGCGCGGACGGACGAGTCGCGCTGGCCAGGCGGCTGGCGCCCGGAAGGTGCGAGTCGGGCGGCCAGCTTCCGACAGACGGGTCGAGCGGCCCCGCGCGAGTGACGACGACGTCAGCGACTACAGCAAGCAGCGACGACGACGACGAGTGACGACGACGGCGACGACGACTCGTGACGACGACGAGTGACGAGGATGACGACGACACCAACGTGAGACCATGACGACGAACGACGACGACAGGGACGATTGGCTACGATGACAAGCGACGACGAGTTAGGAACACGTCGTGGGACAATCACAACGAGCGCCGACAACGTCGGTTTATTGACGACTGACGGCCACGAATAACGACAATGTCAACACACTACGATGTCGAGTGACGACGAGAGACGACGAGGTGTGGTGACAGCGACGATAAACGACGACCAGCGACGACGACATCGATGGCGAGTGACGACGCCACAACAGTTGGCCAGGCGAGAGACCCAACCTAATGCAGCTGCGTGTAGCGCAGAACGCGGCCCTCTCTTCGTACAGTGGAGGCCCACACCAAGAAACACCCGGCTTGCCTCCAGGGTGCCTTGGGTTTCTTGGGCTTCGATGGTTTTGCCAGAGAAATCGTGACGTTCCCACACCACAAATCAATGGACGCCCTGGGGTCTCGGGGTTGGGTTTGCTGTGGAAGGGTTCTTTTGGACTGGCCTCCACTGTATTGAGCACTGCGGGAGGGACTGGAGTATGGAGCCGGTGCAGACAGAGCCGGCCTCAGGGGCGCTGAGGCGCCATGGACGCCTTGTGGGGCGCGATCTGCGTGAGAGGTGCGCCAGAAGAGGCACGGCGAAATCGACGACGACGACGACGATGACTGTCGACGACTAGTGGCCATAACGACTGGCGAGAGACGACGAACGCCGACGATGGCGATAAAGAGTGACAATGGCGACTTTCAGGGGAGTCACGACCTCGACCTGGCACGATCACGAATGACGAGCGACGACGAGTGACGACGACAACGACAAATGCCGAGGACGACGACGAAGACGACGATGGTCGAGAACGACGAGCGGCGACAATGTCGACGACTGCCGATGACGACGACGACGACGACGACGACGACGACGACGACGACGACGACGACGACGACGGCGGCGGCGGCGGCGGCGGCGGCGGCGAGAGACGCACCGAGCCCGCAGGTGGAGCTCCCTATGGGCAACCATCAGGGGGGGGGCGAGATGAGCTCCGGACATAAGGTGAAGCTCCTGAAGCTTAAGTCGGGTCTGTCCCTCTACAGGGGGAATATTCAAAAATAATCAAAAATACTCTGGGGACTATTGTTTTGTAACTATGTTTGAACATTCGTAGGGTCTTTTTGTTTTTCGTTCAGACACCGCCTGTAGGGGGACACGCCCGACCTAACCTTACGGACTCGGTCCGCGTGAGGCGTGTGCAAGACTACGAAGGAAAGAAAACGCCATAAGCATTCGCTCCGCGCGCCAGGGACGGGGGGTCCAGCGCAAATCGAAGAAATCCGCGCGGAGCGTCAAACATTTATGTTTATGGTGTTTGTTCTTTTTCTAAGACTAGGCATCCAGGCCCACCAAATGGAATTCGAGTAGATGGGGTCGGATGATTGCGACGATGCATCGGCGATGCGACTCGGTGTAGAGCCCGATTTTCTTCACGCCGACGGCGCCGATGCATCACAGACATCGCCGATGCATCGGAGCATTGGCGATGCGTCGCGAGCCTCCGACCCCATTTACTCGGATCCCATTCTGGGAAAGAGCGCGTTCTGTGGTCGCTTGGAGGGGGGGGGGGAATCCGGACCCCCCCCCGTGGATGGAGGGGAGGGGGGTTCAACCCTCTCCCCCCCCCCTCCCGTGACGGAGGGGGGGGGTCGAACCCCCCCCTCCCCCCCCCCTTCCCGTGACGGGGGGCTTCGAACCCCCCCTCCCCCCCCCCTCCCCTGCTTCCCTTCTCCTCGGGCCGGCGCTTGCATCGGCGGCGGCGACGGCGGCGGGGACGACGATTTCCATTTCTGGGCCGGCGCCAGCGCCTGCGGCGGCGGGCGGTGGTGGCGGGGAGCGTCGACGAGGACGACGGTGGTGGTGGTGGTGGGTTGTGGTGGTGGTGGTGGTGGTGGTTGGTGGTGGTGGTTGTGGTGTGGTGGTGGTGGGTGGTGGTGTGGTGTGGTGGTGGTGGTGGTGGGTTGTAGTGGTGGTGGTGGTGGTTTGGTGGTGGTGTGGTGGTGGTTGGTGGTGGTGGTGGTGGTGGGTTGTGGTTGTGGCGGTGGTTTGTGGAGGTGGTGGAGGTGGTGGTGGTGGTGTGGTAGGTTGTGGTGGTGGTGGTGGGTGGGTTTTTGTGGTGGTTGTGGTGGTGGTGATGGTGAGTTGTGGTCGTGTGGTGGTGGTGGTGGTTGTGTGGTGCTGTTGTTGGTGGTGGTGGTGGTGGTGGGTTGAGGCGGTGGTTGTGGTGGTAGTGGTGGTGGTGGTGGTGGTAGTGCTGGTAAGTGTCGCTGGTTCCCCGCCGTCGCCGGCGCCAGCGCCGGCGCTGCTGGCCGCCGCCAGCGCCGGCGCCGGCGCGAGGGGGGGGGAGGGGGGGGTGGACCCCCCCCCCGGCGCCAGGAGGGGGGGGTTCAACCCCCCCCCCGTGGGCTGCCTCTGGTCATCGTCGCTGCGTCCCCGCCGTGTGCGCTGCTGGCGGCCGCCAGCGCCAGCGCCGAACGGGGGGGGAGGGGTTGAAGCACCCCCTCTCCCCTTTTGGAGGAGGGGGGGGGTTTGAACCCCCCCCCTCCCCAGGGAGGGGGTTCGGAGGGGTTTGGGAGGGGCGGGGGGCCCCTGGTTTTGATCGACGGCGCCGTGTGTTGGGGGGAGGTGGGCACCCCCTCCGGTCCGAAACGCGCCGCTGAATGTTCCCCAGGCAAGCGCGCGTGGAACGCGTCCTCTCCATTCTGGAGCCCTCCATGGCATTTGATTGCGTTTTGCATGATCCATCACTCACGCCTTGTTTGTGTAACGTACGTTTTTCGGTCAAACCGTTAGGATTGTTGCACACTGAGCGAGTCTCGGAATCAATGTTTTTCTCTGACGCGGGCTTGTTTTCGGCACAAGTAGCAGACGTCACCTAGCGCGTTCCACTATTCGCAAAGTGCCTACTCGCAAAAAAAACCTCAAAACAAACGTGTGCCGCAATTGTAATAGATCGCAAATCCCCCTTGGTCAAAAACAAGCCGTCCCTCCGAAGAACACTCTGCCGGACGGGGCTAAGACGAGGATAAAGTCTGCTCCAAAGCGTGCCGGAACGCGCTCAGATCGCTGCGGAACGCTCTGAGAAGGCCGCGGCTCCCGAGACATCCTCCAGAGCAGCTGGATCTCAGATATCCGATGTATCCTCACCCAGTTTTGTCCTCGTCCTGTCTTCGTCTCGCTCTGCACCCCCCCACCCCGCCCGGCACTTCTGCTTAAGACCAGCCGCCCCTCCGAGGAGCACTTCTGCAGCCCACCCCCATCGCATCGTCGACCCCCAGGAAAGTACAGGAAAATAGGTGAAGTGGGGGGGAGAAGGCGTAAAAACAAGAGAACATTAGAAACGTGGGGGAATTTGGGGATGGGCCTTGCGGCCGGTGCCGCCGACCCTGAAGACGACGACGACGACGACGACGACGACGACGACGACGACGACGACGACGGCGACGACGACGACGAAGACGAGGAGGACGACGAAGACGAGGATGAAGATCAGGAGTAGGAGGACGCGGGGGACGCTGTGGAACAGCAGGAGGAGGAGGTGGTGAGGGAGGCGGATGCGGAGGCGGAGGAGGAGGAGGAGGAGGAGGAGGAGCAGGGGAAGCGGGGGCAGGGTGGAGGACCGGGGGGGGGGGGGGAAGGAACAGCAGGAGGACGAGGATCTTGGGATCTGTGTCTGTGACTTTCTGTGTCCCTGGGCCCTTTGCACAAGTGCTAAGTCGGGCGTCGTCTGCAGGAGGTGTATTCAAAGCTAGTCAAAAAATGATATACGGGGAGGATGTGTTGTATATGTTTGAGCACTGTTGGTCTATGTTCTGACGGTGTTCAAAGTTCCGTCCCAAATCCGCCTGTCGGAGGGCATGCCCGACTTGATACAGTCGGGGCCCTGAAGAAGGAACCATTTTCGTTGGGGAGGGGCTCCGCGTTCCTTATGTGTTTCGCAGCTTGCCTCAGAATTTCCTTATGTGTTCGATCGGAAATCGAAGTTTAACTTATGGCAAAAAGGGGCCTCGTTCCTCATTTTGGGTTCCTTAGGTCAAGGCCCCGACCTGATACAGGTGCTGTGGTGCCGTGGTCGCCCTCGGGGGGGGAAACGAAACAGAAAAGCGGGGTGGGCGGCCTGCGGAACCCGCCCCGCCCACCGACCTGGCTGACAGCGGAGGCCCATGCCAAGAAACACCCTGCTCGCCTCAATGGGCCCTGGAAACGACAGGGCCGTTTTTTTACCGGTTCCGTTTAGCCGTTTTTTGCCGGTTCCGACGCCGTTTTTTACCGGTTCCGTCGCCGTTGTTTGACCGGTTCCGGCTCCGGTTCCAACCCTGGAGCCGTTTTTTTGCCGTTTCTGGTCGCAGTTTTTTTGCCGTTTCCATTTTCAAGGGACATTTTTTTGGAAACGGTGAAAAAACGGCCCTGCCGTTTCCGGGGCACACAAAGCTCCAGGGTGCCCTGAGTCTCGAGGGTCTCGAGGGCCTCTTGGCGATGGAAGGCGCGACCTTCCCACACCAGACATTGAGGGACGTCCTGGGGTCTCGGGGTTGGGTTTCTTGTGGGAGGTCTTCTCGTGGACCGGCCGCCACTCTATGCGTCACTCGTACCGCTGCTCTCATAGGTGTGTCCAGCGCTTTCTTTTCTCGCGCATTCAGTTTGAAGTCGGGCATGTCCTTCTACAGGAGGAATATTCAAACAGATTCCAAAAATAGCTCGGGGGCGATGTTTCGACTATTTTCGCCTACTTTTGAGTCGGCGAGCGACGGGGAGAAGTGAAAAGGAGAAGGCCTTCTCAGAAGGCGGCGGGGCTTCTCAGAAGCCCTCCGGCCTTTTGAGAAGTTTTCTCGGTCTCCGGGAAGGGCTCAGGAAATTTCTCAGGAGGCCAGGGGGATTTCCGAGCCTTCTGAGAGGGCCTTCTCCTTCTCACTTCCCCCCCTCGCTCGCCGACATGCAGTTTCGTTTTACTCCAGCCGGCCCTGATTAGTAGGTCGACCCTGTCAAAGCAGGGGTACACTCGCGTCAATATCTCTCGCGACCCGTGCCTTCTACATTCCTGTCTTGTGCCCCCTCGCGTGCCGTCTCCAATCGAGACGGACGGTAGTCTGTGTCCCCTCCGTGTCCCGTTCCAATCGCCCCTCGCCTTCTGTTTTCGCATGCGTTCTTGGCTTCCGGAGGCCTCACATCTACGGGGGGCGCGTGGCTGTGCACAGCTCCGATGTTGCTGGTACCCCCTTCCCGTTCGACGCAGCGCGAGCTCGTTCTTGGGCCAGCGGAGTTGCGCTCGCGCGGGTCCCTCCCCAGGCCCCCGACGTCATGATTGTTTCACAACGTCGACCCCCAAGAGGTCTCCGCCCATTCACCTGGACCGGTTTTTTATCCTGAGTCGTTTTGTGATGGTCCCGAGGGCCAGCAAGGGCTTCCAGCGGCCGAAAATACAGAACGACCTCCCGTCATGATTTGTTGATTGCCCGAGGGGATTTGGGTCAGGGGCCAGGGACAGCAGTCCAGTGGCATTCTTGGTAGACACAGCACCGCCAAGCGAGGGTATTCGTGCTTTGTCTGTGGTTAGGTATTTGTCGTCCTGACTGTTGGTCCTCGTTTTCCCTCCTGGTTTCGCATCCCCCCTGCACCTCACTGCACAAGGTTTCCTCTGCTGCTCCACTGCGCATTCCTCGAGCCTCCCACATCAAGTCGTCCACGGGCTCGTGCTTCAGAATTGAGCAGATGTGGTTTGCCGCAAAGAACTTAGACAATCTTACGGTTTGGGCTTGTCCTCGCTGTCCTCCCCCGTGTGGGGATAGGCGGCACGTACAGTCGGGCCGAGGTATAGTGTCGATTCGGGGAGGGTGCCCTAATGTTATCCGTGTTTGTTGGATGTTTTTGCGCATCCCGGGGAGGGTATCCTTAGATGTTCTGTTCGTTTTGGCCGGCGGAGGGTCTCATGCTCTTGAAGTATGTTATTCTTGCTTAGGTCCGATTTAATATCCGACCAGTGACATCGAGGCTTGTTACCCTCTGCACGCGCCAGCACTCGCGCTGGCCTTCCGAAACCGCGCTGGCAACATGCACCGCACCGCAGCGAGTCTACAGTCGGACCGAGGTATAAGATCGAGGTCGGTTTGGGGAGGGTGTCCTACTGTTTTTCGTGTTTGTTAGAGGTTCCATTGCATCCTGGGGGAGGGCACCCTCGAACGTTTTTCAAATCGGCCGGCGGAGGGTCTCATTTTTCTTGAAAGGTGTTATCATGCCCTAGGTCCGACCGTTCTCGCTATCAATCTCCATCCGTGCTGTGGACGGTTGGTGTAACAGGTGGCGACGCGCGGTGCCCGTCCTCATCCACCTCCAACTCGATCCCACGCTCCACACTCTGCGGACCCGTCGGCCCCCCACATCGCTGCCATGGACGACCTCTACAAGGTCGGGGAGCGCGTGTCCCAGGACAGTCTCCGTGAAGGGGGGGGCGGGGGCTATTGAATTCCGCCGGGGTGCTTAGTTTGACATCAGTATATCAGCTACATGTTTCCCAGCGTGGACCCCAAACATACGTCATGGCACTGGAGGTGAGAGCCATGCGGTGTAATATATATATATATGTGGTGAAAACTATGTCGTGTAAGATATGTGGTGTGAGCTACGTCGGTGAACGCTGTTCGATGTAATATATATATATATATATATATATATATATATATATGGTGTTAGCTATGCTGTGAAAACTTATGCTGTGCTAAGTGGGAAAAGGTGAATGCTATGGGGGCGGTGGGCTATATGATGCAAACAAGTTGTGCTACACTATGCGGTGTAACATGTTGACGTGTTGAAGTTATGCCGTGCAAACTGTGTGGTGTACGCGATGGAGCTGATACCTACGCGTCTGAGAAAATGTGAGCTAAGTTGTACTGTGTGAGCTGGGGATGAACGCCATTGGGTGCCAGCTATATGATGCAAGCTATGCCGTGTGACTTAAGCGGTGTAAGATATGTGGGGGGAACCATACATTTTAAGCTCACGGGGCGCCAACGAGGTTGAACGGGCGACGACGTGGCGCAACTTCGACAAACTCCCCCCAAGCGCGGGGCGCCCACGAGGCGCCCGCGAGGCGGCACGGGCGCCAACGTGGCGCAACCAGGACATGCTCCCCAGTCGCTGGGGGCCCACGACTCGCCCACGAGGCGGCGGCACACAAGAAGCACCGTGGCGCGAGCTTGACATACCCTCCACGCCAGGGGTCCGAAGGGCGTGGTACAACTTGTGCACGAACTGATTCGCGGAATTGTGTAGTGCCGGTCATGGAGACGGAAACATCAGGTACGTTTTCACGGAACCCGAGGCCACTCATGAAGAGATGAGGTTCTGCTTCAAACGTGGCGCTGCGTGTACAGAACGAGGCATACATTGCAGATGACTTGCAAGATTGACGCCCTCCCGGTATCGGTCATGGGCCGCAACATACAATGCGAGGAAAACTTGAGCAATTGGAAAAAACACGTTCAGACGGAATTCCAATGTCAAGCGAAGGTTTCGGAGCATGTTGCCAAAATCGTGGGGGCCATAAAGCCGCCTGGAATCACCAAGACTGGAAGAGGCGGAAGCGAGCCCGTGAGCGAGTACAGGGCGGTTCAGAAGTGAAGAATTTGTTCGGGCGACCGAAGCAAATTCGGGGAACGAAGCGAACATCGAATGTGTTTGCCCACGTAAAGCATGGTAATCGAAAGCCTTGACGTATCAGGACAACAAGCTCGAAACCATGAATGGGGCATTGCCGGATGACGAAGAGGATGGTATGATACAAGGCACGAACGGGAGGCTTACACGCAGCGAGGCGTTACGCACACCACAACACAATACGACGACGTTAATAAGGGGGAGTACGAGTCGGACGAGGACGACTACGCCATGTGACGGTTTAGTGCCTTCCGTTCCCCCACATGAGGAAGTTGCTAGCGAACCCTGAACATACCCAAGAAAGCGAACGATATTGCGACCCAGCTCGAACTGCGGAGCGCACTCGCGGAGTCTCTGGAGAAGTGTGGGTTTGCGTACTCGTTGCCACTGCCATCCAGGGTTACTGCGCCGATGATCAGTGCGACCCGCGTGGACGATGGGCCGGCGATCGGCAACAGGTTTGCTCCAAGACATGACACTAACCAGACATATTTCGCAAGTGTGAAAACTGTGCAAGGAAAAATCAGATGGGCGTCGATTTCACAAACGACGATGGAGATCGGCCGAGTTAAGGATGGAGATATTAGTGGTTGGGGCACAGGCGTGGACGCGTCAGGCTATTGTGACGAGAGCGGAAACTGGTGGTCATGGGCCGTGGAGGACATGAACAGAAACGGCGAGCCGAATGAGGTGGGCAAAACAGAATTAGAGAAGTAAAGGGCCCATCCGTTACAAGCGTGGTGGACATGGGCGCATCGCCAAAGACTGCGCCACTAACGGGGCCGCGAAAAGAGCAGAAGGCGGAACAGAAGAACGCGCGGGAGTCGAGGCCCACCACGGGGCGCAGGCAGGAGGAAGCAAATGGGGAATGCCAAGACATCGCGGAGCACCCGCGGGGCAACGTCGCGGGAGATCACGAAGAGGGCTCCCGGGAGGTCACCAGCGGAGCCGAGCCCCAAGTTGAAAACGGGGAGTCGAGGGGGCATTTGCGCCGATCTGCGAGAGGGGGCGCTGCATTTGCTGCGAGGAGGGCCGCGCGGCAGCCCGCCGCCGCGACGGCGCCAACGGGTGGGCTCCATGTCAAAAAAGGAGGGGCGGGTGGTGCGCGAGGCGCAGGAGGGCCCGCGCAAATGCTGGGGCAAACCGCGCTCACGACGCAGCGTCGAAATGCACGAGGCCACCGGCGCAGGCGGAGTCGCCGGCAACGTCGCGGCCTGGGGGCCAGCTGCAGAAGCGCAGGGGCAGGGGCCGCAGCGCAGGAGCGCAGTCGCCGCAGCGTCGGGCCCCGAAGCGCAGCGCCGGAGGAATGGGGGGGCGAGGTCATGGATTAAGGGGGGGCGCGCACATCGCGAGCGCGACATTGACTGCGACCGCGCCAACGGGCAAGCGAGTCGCGGCGCGCATCGAGGTGGCGAAAAGTTGGACGCGCAATTTCGCCGAATAACAGCTGGCGGAGATGCGGGCCCGACAGGGAAGTTGACGGGGCGCCGCCTCGGGGCCGAGCGCAACGCGGTCGGACCTCCGCTCGCGGGGGCCCGCGTCCCCGTCGAGCTCGCGGAGGCCGCCGGGAGGGGCAAGCGCTGCGACGCAGCTCATGGGTCAGATGCCAGGAGCCATGGGCATCGTGAAATATGCAAAAACGGTAAATGGCCCATGGCGAGCGCGCCCATCCACGGGGTCGGCGTTGGAAAGGAATCCGGATATGCGCGCAAAGAGGTAGAAGCAGGGAGTCGCGCAGCGTTACATCGAGGCCGCGACTGGCGATCCTGCCGCCACCTTGCGCATGAAGCAACAGGGCAGAAGACGACGATCCACGAGAGAAGCTGCAATTCGGATTTCGCCATGCGAGTTCGAAAAGGCGCCGCGGGCCAGGGGGGGGGCGAGGAACGCCGAGGGAGCGAGAGATGAGATCCGAGGGTCGTCCCGCGCAGGGAACACTCAAGACGGAGCTGTTCCGTTGATTCCGAGTATGACCGCAAGCCCCGATCGAAATCAAATCATCGGGCTTGGACGGGGGCGACGCGGGCGACGCGCGCGGGCCGCGCGCGATCTATGGCCAAGCAATGAAGAAGTTGAGCGGCATGCTAAAACTCACCTGCCCCACCGAAGTCGGCGCCCCCACTGCGCGGGGGGGGGTGCCGGGGGGCGCCCCGCGGGGAGATGTTCGGGATGCCAGGATAAGGCATGGCCGCGATCCCAGTCGACGCGCGGCCAGGTGGGGCGGGTGGAGATGGCAAGGAAGAGACAGACGAAACCCAATCATCGCCATGCACTGTCATGACGCACCGTTTCTCTAGGGCCGAGTCATTCAGAAAGTGCATGGGTCCGCGCTCAGTCAGGGTAGATCGCGATAGGATTTTGTGCATTGGCCATGCCATAGTGACCCCCGAGCGATGGATTGCGGCGCTCAATTGGGCGCCGCCCATGCCTCGTGCGACCTCGATGTGGGAGTATTCGTTAGTCCAGTCGAAGGGGCAATGTGCGCCAGGAAAGCTTGACACACGGCCTGAAAGAGTGCTTTTCGACGGCGCATAGAATGTGGACACAGTGAATAGCGCGCCCTTTTGCTTTGGTTAGCGGCGCGCGCATCGCCTCCGTCGACAGGCCGATGACAGACGCCGAGGGCGCATCGGCCCGCGCATGGCGCTGTGGGCGGACACTCAGCAGCACATACCCAGAATTTGAGGAGTGCGCCGTGCATCCGAGGTAGCGGACTCCGCCCGGCAAGGGGGGCAACGACCGCGAAGCAATGCGGGGGAGCGGCGCGTCTCCGAGAATGCATGAAAACAGCCAACAGTTAATCGCCGGCATTTCAGAGGGCGCCGCGAAGCCGCGTGAGTTCAGGCGCGGAGGGAGTGGTGAGGAAGCGTGGAATTCAGACGCCGTAAGCAACGTGAGAGGGTTGCCCTGGCAACCAGGTAACCAGGCCCGAGCGCGCTTGGGGTGGGGGTCAGAGCCAGGGTGATCTTCCGAATGGCGGTACCTTGTCATGGTCTAGCTGCAGGTGCCCGGCCGTTACTCGCTGGGGGAATCGCAGCGACGAAGTCGGGGCGCGCGGCCGCGGCATTTGCGCCGGCCGCGGCGGGCGCAGAGTTATAGCCGGAGGCGGCGCCAAGGACTGGGGGGATCCACTAGTGGACCTGAGTTTGTAGAGGCGAGTCATCCATTCGACTGCGCCGCGAATCTAGGACTAAGTTCACGCGCCTAGAGACGCGACGGTTAGAGCCCTCGACCGATCGAGTAATCAAAGACCGACGCATGTAATATACCACGAAACGAATTAAAAGGGGGATGCAACGGACGATCGGAAATATGGGCGCACAGGGGGGTCGCGAGGGCCTCGGACCGGGTAGATTGAGTTCCGCGTTTCCACTGGAGGCCAAGGCGATGAACGACCAGCTAACTTTATTCTGCCAGGGCACGCACTCGCAAAAACAAAAAAAATACTCCGACGGAAGAACCCCACATGAGAATCCTCTGGGCGAATCTGGAAAAAGCCATCACCGTCGTCCTCGTGGTTGGTGAGGCGTCCTGGCTGTCTCTTCTGCGTATATTTCCTCTCGCCTTGGCGCGGGCCCCCCTTCCACTCCTTACGTTGTCCCCATCCTCGCCCCCCTGTTTGTTCCGCGCCCCGCCACCTCCTCCCCTTCCTGTTGCATGAGCGCGCATGTCGATGTTCCTCGGCGCCGTCGCCGCCACGGCCAGCACAGGCGCGTTCTCTACAGGTCACGTCGCGCAGCCGTTGGGACAACCCCGCGGGCCAGGCTGTCGGG